CAGCACAAACGAATGTAACCCAGCTTTACCAGGTTAAAATTACAGCCCACGGCAAATACCCCCCTGCATCTATTCCCCCAGGGCTAAGGCGACAGGCATGTACTAACTCACCGTGCAGTTCTTTAAACTGAACGCAGGACCCCTTTCATGCCAGGGGAGCACTCTACCAGCTGAGGTATATCCCCGGCTTGTGTTTTATTGCTTTATAAGAGGCCTTCATCTAGAATGGATAAAGACCCCTCCAGTTAAACAAGGTGTTTCTTTTGAAGAGTTTGTGATTGCTAATGTAGTAACATTGGCCTTAAAAGAGGATTCATTTATTTTATTTTTGTGTATGTGGATGAGGGTGTATAGGTCACGTGTGTGCACATGTCCTCGGAGGACGGGAGAACTTGAGAGGAAAGGAGAACATAGGATTTCCTTGGAGCTGGAGCGACAGGTTATGAACCGCTGATACAGGTGTTGGGGGAACTCGAGTCCCTTGGAAGCAGCAGGTACGCAAGTGCTGAGCCATCTCTCCAGACCCTTGTTGGTCTTGACAAATGCAACGAAGACCCCTTTGTGCTTTCTAAGAAATCTTTCCCAACTCCAAGGTCAAAGGATAACCTCCTACGCTGTTTTCTGAAAGTTTCATTTATTTTCATTTTTGCTTTTTAGAAGTCTCACTGTACTATGGCTTACTGGGTTTTTGTTTGTTTGTTTGAGTTGGGGGGGTGATTTTAATTTTTCCTATTGTATTAACTATGCTTAGTTTTATGTCAAGCAGGGCAGGACTTTGTACAGCCTACGTAAATGTTAAAATATGACTCTTAACTTTGTTTCTCTACACCTGCCTTAGAGCCAGCTGGTCAGACTTCATGCAAATCCACTGGGCTGCTGAGATGGCCCAGTAGTTAAGAACAGCTGCTGTTACTACAGAGAATGGAATTTGATTGCCAGCCCCCTCAGGGCAGCTCACAACCTGTGTAACTCCAGGTCAACGAGATCTGATGACCCTTTCTGTGGGTACTGCACGTACATACACCAATGCAGATAAACACCCTTACACATAAAATAAAAATAAATAAATGTTTGAAAATGTAGTGCTATTTATGTGACTTAAATGTCTTATTATCCTGCATGTGTGTCTGTGTGAGGGTGTGGAAACCCCCCTGGGACTGGAGTTACAGTCTCGAGCTGTCATGTGGGTGCTGGGACTCAACCCCAGGTCCTCTGTGTGGCCAGTGCTCTTAACCGCTCAGCCATCTCTCCAGCCTCCCCAAATCTGATATTTTTTATTATAATGTACTATATATAGATTCAATATCGATTGAAATGGTACCTTTGTGTTGTTCTAATGCTGATAATTGCTTCTTCTATTTTAATTGTTGCTGCATCTGATTTGTAACTCTCATTCAAATCCCATTTGTATTAATGTTCCAGAAAGTGTACGGACTTTGTTCATTTTTATTGCCTTTTAAAATTGATTTTACTATTATTATTTATTTGATTATCACAAATACACATAAGCTTGACTGTATCTACCTTTTTAAAGTTAATATCCAAAGTGCTTTTCTGTGGTACTAAGTGCACTCTATCGCCCTTTGGCTATCACCAGCATCCATCTCTTGGGATCCCTCCAGTTTTCAAACTGCAACTCATCACTCTACAAACCCCTCCCACGCTTCCCTCCTTCCAACCCTTGGCAACCATCGAGTCCACTTTGTGCCCGCTTCTGGGACCTCTTACGAGGGGAGTCCCACCTGAGTGGAACCACACGTTCGTTCCTCTGTGACTGCCTTCCATTGTTATGTGAGTGCCAAGGAGAATTCCATGCAGTTTTGACCTGTGTTTCTCTAACGTCACATGCTTCGAGGGAATCAGGTTGTGGCTTTATAATTTATCCCTTTGGTATACACGCTGTCCTTTTAGTCTTTGTTTGTCCCCTATGACTTTCCTTGGAGATTTCACTTCCAGCATTGTATGCCACTATTGATGTAGGCACTGTGGATTTGGAGCAGGGAATGTGGGGCATATACATGGGAGGGACACGTGCAGCCAGACAGCTCGGTGGCTCTGGCTTTGCAGAGCCCTAGGAGCTACATAGCTACATGTCTATATGGAGTGTATAGGCCGAAGTCACGAAGACATGTCTGTCTTTGAGGCTACAGGTTTCTTTTTGACTTTGTTTTTGTTGTTTGGTTTTTTTCCTGTGGTCAAAATGTCATAAGGTTGGGGATCCCCAGGACACAGAGGAAGCTCTAGATTGAGTTATGTTATGACGCTGAGGGAAGGCAGTCACTTACGGTACATCCGAGGTGAGCGGCGCCTTGATCTGTGCTTAGCTCATGAACCAGGAAAAAAAAATGGCCAAGATTTAGCCTTTACACTTTCCTATGTAGCAATATTATCCAGACCCAGGTTATTTTTAGTTTGCAGTAGTGATTTTTCTCCTTGACGCATAAGATGGTCAGAAATATGGCTCAATTCCATGTGGGGTTCTTCCCACTATCAACTGGAGGCATTGCACTGCTATGTTACTTAAAGTTTACACGTTAAATACTTTCAACATGTTCCCAAACAGAAAAGAAAAACAGGCTATTCAAGCTGATTACTATCCTTTGCTAATTAATGTGCTTTGTTTGTTGTTGTTGAGTTTGTTTTAGAGATGGGATCACTATGTACCTTAGGCTGTCCTTGAACTTGTGGTTTTTCTATCTCCTATGTCAAGAGTTAAGATTTTAGGCCACAGTGTCACTATACCTGGCCAACACGCTACTTTAACCCAGTGAATCATAAGGACTTTATCCTTGCTAGTGTTTTACATAGAGAATGCGTGTCTGTGCCCATCCACGGATTTGCTTGTGCTTCAGTTTAAATAATCCACTTGATTTCCTGGGTCTTCTTATCTGGGACCTTTCCTTTCTCTTCTATGATACACCCTTCAGAATTTTCTTCAGGGTTTCTCCAGTTTTTGTTATGTGTGGAATTTCTTTGCTTTCATTTCCTTTGTTGACAGTTTTTGACAGCCCTTTGCTCAGTCAGTTGAAGAAGCAGGTCTCTGGATGCGTCTACTGCTCCTAAGAAGACAGTTCTAAGGGCCACTTCCGTGTACATCTGTTTCAAAGCATCTCTGAGGAGGCTGCATCCAAGGTTGTTTACTTTCTTAAGAAGTACTTATTTAGGGCTGGAGAGCTGGCTCAGTGGGTTAAGAGCACTGAGACCAGAGTTCAATTCCCAGCACCCACATATTGGCTCACAACCGTTTGTGTGTGTGGATATATATGTACATACATCATCTTTCTTTCTTCCTTCCTTCTTTCCTTCCTTCTTTCCTTCCTTCTTTCCTTCTTTCCTTCCTTCCTTCCTTCCTTCCTTCCTTCCTTCCTTCCTTCCTTCCTTCCTTCCTTCCTTCCTTCCTTCCTTCCTTCCTCTTGAGACAGGGTTTCTCTATGGCTTTGGAGCCTGTCCTAGATCTCCCTCTGTAGACCAGGCTGGCCTTGAACTCACAGAGATCTGCCTGCCTCTGCCTCCCAGGACCAAAGGCGTGTGCCACCAACACCCACCTGAATTTTTACTTTCTCTTATAGTGTGTGTATAAATATATTAACCTAGAAGTTCCATTTATATATTTTTAAAGATGTATTTTTAATTGCATGTGCATGAGTGTTTTCCTGCATGTATGTATGCACACCTTGAGTGTGCTTGGAGCCTGTGGAGGCTAGAAGAGGATGGTGGACTCCTTGGAACTGGAGTTACAGCCAGTTGTGAGCCACCATGTGGGTGCTGGGAACCAAACCTGGGTCCTCTGCACAAGCAGCAAGATCTGTTAACCGATGAGCCGTCTATCCAGATCCTCATTTACATATTTAAAAAATCTGCATAGTAATCTTTCTAGTCTTACCTCCTTAATCATATTTTCTTTCCTTTCAGATTTTGGCTTTTGGAAACAGAGTTTCTCTGTGTAGCCTGGCTGACCTGGAACTCATTCTATAGACCAGGCTGGCCTCCAGTTTAGATATCCACCTGCCTCTGCCTCCAGAGTGCTGGGATTAAAAGCACATGCCACAGCCTTGAGCATGTTTTCAAATGTTCTGATGCAAGCTAAGGCTTTTATTTACATGTCTTGCTAACCACTTCAGTCTAGGCCTGCCTCTACTGTCTGATGCTCTGCTGGCTTCTACCCAGGTTGAATCATTTCGTGGTGTTGGAGCTGGAGATGTCTTTCTTCTACAGGGGTTTTCTTCTAGGGCTTTGAGTCTTGTATGGCTGCTAGTGATATTTACCCTGGCGTAATACCACACAGGAAAACTCTACTGAAATCGCCGCCTCCTTCCTCTGAACTTCTGGAAAGAAATAGTCTCCTAAGGGACGATCAATGCATGAAAGGGCTGGTCTTGATTCTTATCAGCAGGGATCAAAACCCAGATTAACCTAATCAAGAATATGAGCCAGAGGAGAAGGTGTGGTAGCTGTGGCTGCAAGCTTGGGGAGGCAGGGGGCTCATTCCCAGTTTGAGGATACCTTGGGCTACTACAGTGAGTTCTAGGCAAACCAGAATTACATACTGGCACCCGCCTCAATCCCTCTTACTCCTCACAAAGAAAACTTAGTGAAAAAGAAATGTCGCTCTCTTTTTTTTTTTTTTTTTTGTTTTTTTTCCCAGTGCGGTTTCACACAGCCCAGGTTGCCCCCAAACTCCTTACTCAGCTGAGGATGGTCCTGAACTTTTCTTTTACATCCTATGTGCTTGGTGTACCACCCAGCCATTCAGGGCCTCATGCATGACAGGTGAGCATTCTGCCGAATGGGCTGTGTCCTCAGCCTGTTTGTAAACTTTTAAGTAAGTTCTCTGCCATCTGTACTTGGGTCAACTTAAGGAGGGTTTTCATGTGGTCACGGGAGTGCCTCTCACAGGATATGAAGTCTCTCCTGTGATTGGTTACTGAAACATTCCTACAGCCCCACTATAAAGCAGGAGTCCTGGTGAGAGAGGGTGCCGTGCTCATGGACTCACCCACCTGTGAGGGTCATCTGGGTCACAGTTGGGAAGAAACTGAGTGATTGCCTCTGCTACTTCTTCATTTGACAAAACATCCCAGAGGCCGTCGGTAGCCAGGATCAGCACGTCATCTGCTCCGTGCTCATATTTGGAGAGATCGTAGACTCTTACCTGAAGGAAACAGGGAGACGACGATGTGAGAAGGGGCCAGGTGGGGAGATGGTGTGTATGTGGGTGTGTTTTGGTTGTTTTTTGTCTCTAACCAAGTGGCTTCTGACTCCTTGCTTTTTTCATGTCTGGCCTACTATTATTTTTCACAGACGCACTACAAGGTACTTGATCCCCGAGCAAGCTTGGTGGAGTGGGCAGCCTCTTTCTGGGACTTGCTTACAGACATTTAGGCCTATTCACATCTGGGAATGGGGCCCAGGAGGGCTTAATAATTAACAAGGAAGACATGAGTTGACAATCTAATGCCTGAGCTACAGCTGAAGTGACGGCCGGCACGTGGACCTTGCGTGAGCCACGAAGAGCCCGAGGCTGGCCCGCCCAGCTTCCTCTGCATGTATGATGAGACACCCTTTCCCAACTGCTCTAAATACAAAGAGAGAGAGAGAGAGAAAAAAAGGCTCTTTCATTTTATGGAACATTCTGTAGGAGAGATGAGTTCATTTGGGATTTACGAAATGGTTCTCTATGTACTCATTAAGGGTTAAGGAGACATACGTTATTTAGTTCACAATGTTTCTGAAGTCATTCTTTCCTCTGAGGCGCAATGGGTTACAACCCTCCCCCTCCCTCCAGGTAAGGATGAGGTTCTGGTATTACACTTGGGGTTGGCAAACCCCAATCCGGGCAAGTCACAAAAGATGAAAGAAAGCTCAAACTGCCTTTCCTTTGTGTCTTTGTTTGAGACAGGGTTTCTCTGTAGCTTTGGAGCCTGTCCTGGAACTCACTCTGTAGACCAGGCTGGCCTCAAACTCACAGAGATCCACCTGCCTCTGCCTCCCAAGTGCTGGGATCAAAGGCGTGTGTCACCACCACCTGGGCGCTCAAGCTGCATTTCCAAAGCACGCTGTCAGACAAGTTTTACACCTTCTTTCCTCTTGTACCTTGAGTGACAGTGACATTTCAATAATTGTCTAAGAAACTCTTCGCAAAGGGCAGAGCATCTCTGGAAAACTAGAAAGAACTAAGATGCAAGTCTCATTAGGGTGAGCCAGCGAGCACAGTTCTATGCCCACCCTACTTGGACAGGATCGGCGGGGGCATGGAGAGGCAGAGTCTGGGGGTTTGGTAGCCATGCCTTCCTGATTCTGCAGACTCTCCGAGTTTAAACTACTTCAGGCACTGAGGACAAACATCAATTTAATGACTCACCCACTTCCCCTGTCTCAATCCCTTTACCTTGTGTGCCCGGAGAAAGCACTGGGGTAGTTAGTGGAGGGAAGAGGAAAAGAGAATGTGGCATAAGCTGCTGCTCTGGTGTTCTTTCCCACTGGTCACACTGGTGGCATCTGGCCATCTCATAAGGTATAGGTAATGGGATTCTAAGAGGTCTACCAGATGGTTCAAATCCAGCCTTTGCCCTAGAACGGTTTGCCTAGGCCAGTAACATCCTTTAGAGACAGGTCCTATGGGTTAGCAGACAGCCTGGTGTGAGGTGCCTGAAACTAAAGGGATGCTGAGCCCCGGTAGGTGAGCTCAAGTAAAAAGCCACAGGTCCAGCCCCTATGGCCTGAGGATGAGACAGTAACAATTAGCTGATGGCTCAGTACCTGATGGCACCCTCAGGGGAGAACACTCAGTGGCATGCTCTACCAGCTTTTACGTGTGTATACACACACACACACACACACACACACACACACACTCCCCCCTCAAAAGGCATGCTCTGTGTGTGTGTATGAATATATATATATATTTCGCCCCTCAAAAGGCCTGCTCACTTAGGGTTGGGCTGACATTCTAGAGAAGCACTGAGCCTTCTGAGCAAGTGGGGTGGGGGTGGGGATGGGGGGCGGGGCCAGCTAGGTCCAGAAAGGCAGAACTTGAGCCCTCAGATCCCCTTCCTGAAGCCATTCATGTCTTCTTTCCCCTCAATGGGAGGTAACCAACCCCTTCTGCTTTACTTTCTGTGGTTGCTGGCTGTGCTGGAGCCACGCTTCCTCAAACGTTAGTGTGTGGACCGGTCAGCCAGGGAGCCTGAGCACAAGCAGGTGCTTCTTAAGTTTGGAGATAGGCCTTGAGAACCTACAGTCCCAGGGTGATGTCAGAGGGCCAAATACTTGGACCACACTTGGAGTAGCAAGGTCACAGAAGTCCTGGGCCTAGAAATCAAGGCCTCTCTGGACCGTGTCATGCCGGGTGCAATGAGTTTCCTAAAACTCTGGGAAGGGCAATAACTGTCACTCCTGGGCTCCCAACTCCAAGTCCTTGAGAATGGAATGTGTTCAGTGAGAGCTGGCTAGCTTCCCGCCGAGGCTGATTTACCACTAAGTGCTGTGATCCTCTGAGCTCTGCCGAGATGGAGCATGTCAGGGGAGAGGCTTACACTGTAGTTAAGAGGAATTTCCATTCGACTTCCCATCCTTCCTAAAACACATGTTTCCAGGCCTGAAGATAATATCGGTTCAGAATCTGCCATGTATACAGGGTGCCCACGTGGCTTCAAAATTTTTTTTTGCTGGTTCAAGAAGGGGCCGTTTGATTCCTTCTGTCTAAATTAGCCTGCCCCAGTTATCTGACAGAAATCTGGCCAGTGGAACCATGTGGGCTCACACCAACATGCTTGAAGATGCTGCCCTTCAATCTCGCCAGTCAACAATGGGAATCTTCACCAATCCCGTTCACATTCCACTCACAGCTCACTAATGTGGTTTGATTAACCAGCATGGAAATCCCTTTCAATACCACTCTCCACACAATTTTTAAGTAAATAATACAAAGCCGGTAGCTCCCCGAGGCACTCCTCAATTAACAGCCTTTTAGGTTTCTTACTTCTATCCTTTGTTTCCTGCCCTTCAGCCAATTTCCAAAGGACTTTGCCAACTTTCCACTTGCAGCTCCGGTCTTGTACATTAACCTATGATGCAGAACACTCTGCAAAAATGCTTTCAGGAAAACTGGATCGGTGTGCAAGCCAGAAACCAGGGCTTCGGTGGACGGCCTTCCCTCCCCAAGGCTGCTGTGGATGGATCTTCCTCAACCAGAAACCCTCCCAACCCCAAGGTTCCTCTGCTCATTTCCTGAAATGACTCTTCGTGTTCCTGGAACCCTCACATGAATCTAGTGGGCTGGGAGGCTCGACAGAGCTACGACATCTGGAAGACCCATGGGGCGAGCTACAAGGCAAAAAACACCTTGGGAGACCGAGGCTAGAAAACACACCGAGTGCTCGCAAAGGTTGGCCTCCTCGTTCCAACCTACAAAGAAGGGGAGGGAGGAGTAACTAGAAGAAGCCTTGTGTTAAGGAACACACAGACGCTCTTTGACTTCAGAAAGGGGTGTGTCCTGAGCAGCGAATTATTACATGGAAGGCACGGTAAGCTGAAGATGGCTCTTGGTGCATGTAACCTTCGATACGTCACAGCCGAGCAATTTTCCTGTGACTGTGTGTGCGCCCAGGTTCTGTGATCCCAGTGCCACTGTCCAGCAGCGGTAGAGAATATTATTCATATTACACTTCATCCTGTTAGCCAGGTAAAAGATCCAAATCCCAAATGCAGTTGTATGCTACCATTGAATATCGCGATTCCAAATTGAACCAAACCAACCAAGTCTGGACAGCTGAGGGATCTTCACTCGTGGTCTCCTGGCCACTACTACCTCTGGGTGTCGACTGCCGCTAGACAGAGCTGATGGATTCCTCTGCCTCGGGGACCGATGTCATCATCTAACTACAGACCCCTTCATAAGGCACTAGTTTCACAGCGTGACCTAACAGGCATAGCTTGCTGACCCTGACATGCTCAAATAGTTACCAAAGTGCAACGGGCTGTTTATGCAGAAGCGGGAGACGAGAACTTCCTCTTCCTGTGCTCAAGAAACTCTCAGCACGCCAAGGGAAATGAGTAGGAGGACACCAAGAGTCTCGGCTAATGTGCCCTGGATGGACCAAAGTGCGGACAGCTCACAGGATTCTAGCTTTCCAGCATTTAGAGCCGCCCTTACCGTCACCATCAGTGACATCCACGTGACACAGCAGCTTGTGACTCTTCCATACAGCTCCTCCATTTCGTGCTCAGCTGTAGACTGCTGTTCCAGCGTCTGCGTGCTGCGTGTCCCCCTCCCCCACCTTTGCACTGCTGTTACTGATGTTTTGCTGGCATGCTAAGAGATCACAATGCAGCAGGCTGACTTAGGCGTCTTGAATTACGTTAAGAGAAGAACCTGTCAACTTTCCCGCTTGTCCCAGCTCCCTGGCTTTCTCTGGGCTTTTTGTGCTGGGGTGTGACGTGAGCCACCATAGCCTGGCACCTTTCACAGAATCTATGGCTTTATTATCTCAGCAAATCTGCCACACCTTTTCCTCCTGGTGACAAGCTCCCACGGCACTGTGTGGCTTGAAGAGGGCAGTGGCTACTAGCTACTGTTTCCCACAAGTCTTTGGGGCTTTATTTGAGGTAGGCCTCCTGTAGCCCACGCTGGCCTCGAACTCACTATGTAGTTGAAGGTGACCTTGAGATTCTGATATTTGATATTCCTGCCTCAACCTCATGAGCCTAAGAGCTTGGGTCACAGGTGTGCAGCGCCATGCCGGTTCTGTGCAGCACGGCCGTGTTGAGGGTCACACCCAGGGCCGCGAGCAGGGCAGGCAGCAGCGCCCACTGAGCTAGACAGCCCTGTGATCATTTCTCTTTTGAAACTGGAAACCAGTCAAGAAAAAAAAAAAAATCAAATTATGTTGTCTCTGCTCTTCTCACCAAGCTGTAATAAAGGCCACGGGGTGGAGAGAGAGAGAGCGAGAGCGAGAGAGAGAGAGAGAGAGAGTATGTGTGTGTGTGTGTGTGTGTGTGGTTACCTGAGTGGACGTCGTCATCATCACGGCTCTGGTCTCAAGGTGGCAACACCAAGGATAAGCAGCTGGGGGGAAACTGTACTCTGGGAACCGGGGGTCCAAACCCAAAGGTCTCATTCACAGTAACAGTAATTAAGACTCCCCGTAGTGT